TGTGGCGTTGTGTCTTTGTACTGGTTCGTCTCAATATCACTTGTATTCGCAAACAAATGGCTACTGAGCAACTCAGATATCCTAGTAGGTGCCCATTAACTTTACTCTATTTTATAGTTTGATGCGCCATTATTTATCACATGGTTCCAGTGTCTTTGTACAGTGGCCCTGTGTGGGGGCCTTTCTTACGCCAGTCACCTCTTCCCAAGTAGACTCTCCTTCAGCGCAATCGATTTTTCATTTGGAACGGCACTAAAGGTACGACCAATTTTATTTCCCAAGCCGCTTTTTAGATTCTACCCCTAACTGTAGTGTTCTTCGCCATGATTGTCTGCAACAATTTTTGTCTGAAGTACCTTGATGTCTCCTTCTATTTCGTTGCACGGTCATTAACAACAGTATTCAACGTCGTGAGTTCTCATTGTTTAGATCGTCTCGACATACTCTACGTCCATATGATAGCAAAGTGTTTTTTTGACATTCGCTTCGCTTTTGTTTGCATACTTGGCATTTTTCGTGAGAGAAGCCTTTAGGTTAGACCAACGTTTAATTTTGGGAGACGCCCAATTTTTTTACAGTTTTTTGTTTGAGACCATATTTTCAGACCGGGAAAATGTATTTTAAATACCAGGACTAACGTAAATTTCGCACTGAAAATTTTTATAAAAATATTGCAGTCACCAACATGTTGATGCCGATTTTCTCATGATTTTGCCGCACTTGGTTTCACCAATTTACCTGGTTATGAACTTGTGCGACAGTACGAAGTCTCCAGTTCTGTTGGGTTTGGCTCATTATCCAGTTTCATCTTCGGCGCGGTCGTTTTCGTTTTGTAAATAAAAACCCCATTTAATGCATTAATTCTTATAATAATCGAAGTCATTTTAGCCACTGACAACTGCGAGATCGTTTTTAAGATTTAGCCACCCCTTAGCTCTGAATTTTTATCCGTAGAGGTGTGGAATCCTATAAAAAACCCTTAGAAGTAATTACTCAACTAATCGTGCTTTGGATAAGTGAAGTAAGTTGCATTCCGAGATGATATAATGAAAGGAAAGAAGATCTTCGGAAAATCGAGTTGTACTCGTGAATTTTCGAACATGCTTTGGCTCTGACTTTTCTCCGAGATCGCTCTAGGATGATTACTGTATCCTTTTAACTCAAGGATTATTATGTCACATTTAACTAATATAAGCCGTTATGAGAAAGTGGCGTTAAGAAGACTCGATCGCTGGGACAATATGTTTATTCGCCTGACGTTTCGAAAT